TCTTCGTTTTTCGTAGTTTTTACGCTTCAAAGAATTCATAAAATAAATATTTGTCTTCATTCTTATATTTCTGTATTTCACTGAACCTTTCCTCGTGTTGGACTAAGTTCAGACCGGCCTGATGCCCAAATCAGGCCCGCGGGCCTCACGGTTTCACTTCAGGAAAGACTCGGGTCTTGAAGGAACTCAGTAAAACAGGAAGGAAAAAAAAAACCTACATGAACTTCCTTCTTTTAACGATGATACCCCCCCCCCACACACACACACACACACACATGACGTTCAGCCTCCAGACGAACAGCAGCTCTTTGTGTTTGCAGTGTGTATGTGTGTGTGTACACAGGGCAGATCCAGCGTGCAGCAGTGTGCTGGATGTGCACGGGCCTGCCGCTGCTCTGAAAGTGACAGTCTGTGTTGCTGATGATTAGTGATGGTGAGTAACTCTGCTCTTTTATTGCAGCTATAGGCGTGTGTGTTTGCTCGAGTTTGTGGGAGAGCTGAGGTGTGTGTGATTGTGTGTGTGTGTTGGGGGGCAAACCCTGTTGTAGAAACGCTCTTACTATTTGAAACATTTTGTCAGATTTTGCTCATTTGCTCTGTTTCTGGCTTGCACGTGCGCTGAAGCTTTATTGCAAAAAAAAAAAAAAAAAAAAAAAGCTGCAGCGGCCTCCGCTCTGTTTCCTCTCATCACCCAACCGGATGGCTGCGGGCCCACATTTCATTTAGCATTTGCCAAGGTTATTATGGCGTCACAGTTCTCGCGCTCGAGGACCGATACGTCAAGCGCGCGCGTTTAGACACTGATAGGGGTGAGCGGCTGGGCCAGGCCTCATAAATAATGAACGAGGAGAAGTCACCGCGAGGTCAGCAGACAGGCTCGAGCCACGCACGGCGCTGGAGACACTGGCGCGCATGCGCACCCGAGATACCAGAGCTTCCAGCAGCACAACACAGACAGGGATTTGTTTACTGGACAAACAAGGACAACAGGAACTAACAGTTGACTGTTTTCAGAAGTGACAACAAACGTAAACATCCTCAAACCAAAGGCCCCAACATGCCTGAAGACATGTCTTTAATTAGTTTAAGTTATTTTATATGAGAAAGAGCTGTAGGTCGACCCTTAATTTTAACATCATAAACAATAGGCTGAATGGCCAGAAGTGTTAGCCCTACTGGGATAACACCAGCTTTAGTTCAATAGATTAACTTGAGTGGTCATCTTAAATTTACTGAGTCCAAAATACATTATAATTTCTGAAAGATTCATTAAAATCCACATAGTGGATCGTACGATGTTTTGCTAACAGACAACCATTGACTTTAACAGTTTATCCCAAAGTTTTAGGCAAAAGTCTTTATCATGAGATGTGTTATAAATGACTCTGTTACAACCAAACTGAAGCTCGTGTTGTGAAATTCACTGAAACACTTTAGTGTTTTCTGGTGTCAGTTGGCTGTGGTGGCCATCTTGAATTGGCTTGTCTCCAGATGTTAATGGATACATTCAATAATTTGTTGTTGAAAGTTTAATTAAAACCTGTTCAGTGCATGACATATTTTCCTAACAGGCAAATTGTGGACGGTAGTGGGTGGGTGGGGGGATTTGTGCAACATGCCAGAGCTCAGAGTGTGTTGAGATAAGCCTCAAATTTCTGGTCGCTGTTCGTTAAATTGACTGAGTTACAGTTATTTTAGTGGATTTTTTTTTATTTCTCTAACTTAAGCTGTTTACCTTTTAGGAATCAGATCTGCAGCTCAGACATTTAAAAATAAATCATAGTTGAAATTAAGACTAACTGAGCGTGTTATCACATCTGAAGACAGAAAAAAACTGTTATCTGAGCTCTTGGTGAAAGGGGGTTTCTACTGGTTTCCATTACTGATAACAATTAAACAACTTCTATCATTTGTTTAAAAGTGAAAACTCTTAACTTTTTTAAATGGATCCAATGAAGTAAAGGAGAAAATACATCATCATTTCATTCATAAAAGGCAGCGAGGAAACAAATTTTAACATTTTATCAAGGATGAGTAAAAGCTGTGATTTTACCACTTTTAGCTTTTTTAAAACTTTTCTTTTTTTCCCTTTTTTATATAATACTGAAATAATGCGTCCAAGACTAATTAGAGTTTAAATTAGGGTTTGATAGAATTAAACTTAAAATTGGACAATTAACTTAATTTAAAAAGTCGTTTTGCCTCAGTAACTAGTGATTAGTTTCAGTAGTTGAGCCTTTGGCCGCAGTTTGTCCTCAGGATGCAGTTCCGTCTCACCACCACCAGAGCCCGCTTCAGACCAGGAGGACAGCAGCCCGCGTGACCCCCTGCTCCTGTAAGACCTCCATTAAAGCTCTCGCGTTCATCCTGTTCAACCCTGACCAAAGCTAATCTCAGTTAARTTGCGCTAAACTGTTTTCAGCGCGACAGAAAAAACGGGATTAAAAATGTCTGCTGTCAATCTCTTCCTCCTGTTGGACAAACTGACTCAGACAGCTCAGACTGGATCATGTCCCGCGCAACAGATAAATTAGTAACATAAACGATCATTGGTTGTTTTTATTTTTCTCCTACCTTCCTGCCTAAAAGCTGTACAGAACCACAGGCTGGAGGGTCTGAAGCTGCAGCACAAGGTTCAACGAGTCGAAGGGTCAAAAGTTCGCCGTCGTGCGTGAGTTCCGCCCTCGCAAATCCTCCCTCACTCTGGACCCAAGAAAAGGAGGGGGAGTCATGGGAGAGGAGGCAGGAGG